TCCTACCCCACAGAGAAAAGGCAAAGAAGGGGAGGTTAGGAAATGACAGCAGCAATTATATTGGGAGGAGAGAGGTGGGTCTCAGTCCTCTGGATTCCCCCTACCCTCTTGGCCTCCTGATTAACTCCTTCTTTTCATTGCAAGGAGTTATTTCCTTGGTTAGTGATGGATATGGGCCCAACTGTCTTGATCACATGGAGTTAATGCATTAAAAGTCTATTGTTCAAAAAAAAAAAGTCTATTGTTCCTTTTTCTGCTTCTCTACTCCAATCTATTGCAAAGCAGCTATGATATATAAGCATGTCTGTGCTTTCACACTAAGCCATATTCTCCACAGTGCAGTGATATTCTGGATTCTAGCTGCCCGACTCCCATGACTATTCTTTTGATTATTTCCAAATTCAGAGAGGGAACAGGGTTATAAATTATTGGGTCCCCTTAAACTCAAAGAAATTTCATTAAAACAGTAAGAAATATATGAATTTCCAAAGGAACATTAAGAGATTTACAAAGAAACAAGTAAAATAACAAGTCAACACAAGTTATAAAACCCATAGCCAAAGAGAAACAAACTTTAATGGAGAATAAGGTAATACAGTAACATTAAAATAAATTATACAAGGGATAAAAAATAAAAGCCAAAGAGATTTTATAGCCATTTATAAAATTAAAGATATTATAAATTTGGGCTGGGGATTTAGTTCAGTGGCACCATGCCTGCCTCGCAAGTGCAAGATCCTGAGTTTGATCCCTGGTACCAAAAAAAAAATTATGAATTTAAAAATCAAAACATATATGCAAGGTAAAAACATTACAACAATTCTGAAGCAAACATTAAAACTTTAAGGCAAATGACCAAGTGCAGTGACATACACTTATCCTCCCAGCTACTCAGGAGGCTGAGTCAGGAGAATCATTTGAGCCCAAGGGTTCCAGGACAGCCTGGACAACACAGTGAGAGCCTGCCACTTAAGAAATAAAAACAAAATATATAAACAAAAGGGGAAAAAAAGGTAACACTTGGTGAACTCAGTCCTGAGCAGAGTCCTCAGTTGGCTTAAACATCCCCAGGCTCCACAGTGAGATTTCTCCAGAAGGGGACTCAAGGGCACTCACACACCCCCAATCTCCAAGGCCTTTAGCTCTCTCCTGGAGCCCCTGTGTTCAGTGGGTGCCTAACACATGGCTTCCAGGCTCCTGAATCAAAATCGTAGAAACCTGCCATCTCCTTGGCCTTTTACAGACTCCTGTACAAATCTTTTTGATTGCTTTGTTGCGCTCTCCTTAGAGACTTCACCCGCTGTCTTAGTCGGCGTAGGTTGCTATAACTAAATACCAGAATAGGTAGCTTAGAAACAACAGCAATTTACTCCTCACAGTTATGGAGCCTGAGAAGTCCAAGAGCAAGGTGCTGGCAGACACAGTGAGGGGCTGCTTTCCTGGTTCACAGATGATGCCCTGTGGCTTTGTCATCACATGGTAGCAGGAAACTGCTACCCTTGGGTCCTCTTACAAGGGCATTAATTTTGCTAGTCATCTACCAGGCAACTATGTTTCTCTAGGGATTAGAATTCCATCATATGAATTTAAGGGGACATAAACATTCAGACCATATCATCCTAATTCTTTGGGCTCCATTTCTGGTCACTCATTTGTTAATTTACTTGATGATGATTTATTTATTGAGAGATTTCCCTGATGCAATGTCCCGTGCTGGTGACCAAGCACCTATCTAATGGTTGGGAACAATTGTAAATAACTTTGTCATTTTATTGGTGATAAGTTCTATGAAGGAGAAGCACAGGAGCTACTAGAATGGTGAATAGGGAAGGTCTTGGGAACCATCCAAAACGTTCTAAGGAAGGAGTTTGTTTTTTGGAGTAGAACTTGCTCAGCCAAAAGAAAAGAACATTCAAAGTGAAGAGAGCAGCAGAGGCAAAGACCCTGAGGCCAGAGGTAAAGAAAGTAGCTTGATACTGTGCTAAAAAAAGCAGCATGGTACTGGCAAAGAAAAAGACCTGAGGACCAGTGGAACAGAGTAGAAGATGCAGAAACAATTCCAGACACACTCAGCCACCTCATCTTCAACAAAGGAGCCAAACACCCTCACTGGAGGAAAGATAGCCGCTTTAATAAATGACGCTGGGAAAACTGTATTTCAACCTGCCAAAGATTAAAACTAGACCCATACCTATCACCATGCACTAAACTAAGATCAAAGTGGATTAAAGATGTAAATACTAAGACAGAAACACTAAACTAAGACATTGGCATAGGAAAAGACTTCATGAACAAAACCTCCGTAGCATGGGAACTAGCAGAAAAAATCAACAACTGGGATCTCATCTTATTAAAAAGCTTCTGCACTGCAAAAGAAACCACCAACAGAGCTAAGAGACAGCCTACAATGTGGGAAAAAAATGTTAGCAGCTATACCTCAGACAAAGGACTACTAGCTAGAATATATAAAGAACTCAAAAAAATCAGATCCCCCCCCCAATTCAAAGACCCAATTCAAAAATGGGCATCTGAAATGAACAGACATTTCTCAGATAAGGAAGTAAAAGCAGCAAATAAACATATGAAAAAATGTTCAACATCACTGGTCATACAAGAGATGCAGATGAAAACAACACTGAGATTACACCTCACCCCAGAAAGAATGGCTGCTATCAAGAAATCAACCAATAACAAATGCTGGCAGGGGTGTGGAGAGAAAGGAACCCTTCTCCATTGGTGGGAGTGCAGGCTGGTGCAACCACTGTGGAAATCAGTATGGAGATACCTCAAAGAACTAGGACTAGAGGTCCCATTTGACCCAACTATTCCCCTGCTGGGTATCTTCCCCAAAGAATTGAATGAATCATACCACAGTGATATATGTGTGCTCATGTTTACAGCAGCACAGTTTGTAATAGCTAAAGCTTGGAAACAGCCCAAGTGCCCATCAACTGGAAACTGGATAAAGAAGATGTGGGGTTTTTTTACAGAATGGAGTACTACTCAGCCATAAAGAACAAGAAACTAGAGACATTTATAACTAAATGGATGCATATTGAGGCCATACTCTTAAGTTAAATAGGTCGGCGATGTGTAAATAGCGAATAGTTTCTCTGGTGTGAGAAACTGAAAGTGTAAATAAGGATTAAAATGATTAAAATGAATAACTGATAATTTGAAATAGGAAGAAAAGGTCCAAAGGAAGAGGGAGGGGAAGGGGAAAGGAAAGAAGGGAAAGGAAAAATTATGAGAAAAGGAAAAAATGGAAACAAAGTCTTTGCAAATAGGGAAGAGTGGAGGAAGGGAAGGGAGCACAGGGAATGGTGAAAAAATAACCAAGATACATCATGTACAGGTACACGCACCCAATGATAAATGTAAACATATTGTATACCTAAAATGTCCCAATAAAAGAATTTAAGCAAAAAAAAAAAAAAAGGAAAGTAGCATGAACTAATTTGGCCAGAAGAGACAGGTTAAGACCAAAGGGAGAAGATGCAGGTGAAATAAGCAGCAGCCAGAACCAAAGCCATGAAGCTGCATTGAGGATTCATGTTTTCTTTTTTGGGTCCAGAATACATAGTTCACTATTTGGACCCAGTGGAAAACTTCTGCCTGGTATTTTGAGTCTATCATGATGAATACAGTTTAGTCCAACTTACATAAAATTAATAAATTCTCATCTAAACAATACCCTTCTTAGCAATTTAATCAATTTAATTCATTGATAAATGACCATACACAAGATTTAAATTGATTTTTATTCTTCTCACTTCCTGTTTACTGGTATTAAAATTAACATAAGATCAATTTTTAATTATAAACTTTCAATGAAAATTTATTGTATTCTCAAATTTAATTTTCCAAGAGCTACTTATAAATTATAGTAAGATTTGATTTTTTTATGCTCACTTTTACTTAATCAGATTTTATCAAGTATCATTTTAGCCCCTTTTAGCTTTATTGTGGGTCAGTGTGTTTGCAAGTATTATTCTCTTTGATTAGAAAATGATTTTTGTTTAAAAATAAATAATCCACAAGGAAATCTTGGATTGTTCAGGACTCATCTACTGTGGTAGTTCTTCTACTGTGTAGTCTCAGAATTTATTTAGACTCCTAAAAATATTGAGGTTCTCAAAGGCCTTTTGCTTATGTGGATTATAGCTATCAATAATCACTGTAATATAAATTCAATCTGATAAATTTCTAAACTTTAATTTTTAAAATAATACAAATCACGTTAACATAATTATTTTTATTTTAAAAAACTATTTTCCAAAACAAAAAGAAAAGTACAAGAGTAGCAGTGTTTTACATTTTCACAAATCTTTTTTATGTGGCTTTATGGAAGACACTGGCTTCTCCAGGCACTTACATTCAAACTGCTGTAATATCCCACATCACGTAGGCCTTTAGAAAACTCCCCACAGTGAGACAGAAGCACTAGATATGAAACAATCTTTTTAAAAACATTTTAATTATCCCTTCAAGTCCCGTACTCCCTGCAGTGCATAAGGGTAGTTTTGCCTCAGAAAGAAATGGCACTTCTGCCAGGACGCTGGTGGCTAGGTCTGGAAGATTACGTAGAAATTAAATTCAAGACGTGCGCTTTCCAAACCTAAAGTGGTGGCGCGCGCCTGTAATCCCAGCACTTGGGAGGCTGAGGCAGGAGGATCGCCAAGAGTTCAAGGTCATCCTGAACTACACAGAGGGACTGTGTCTTAAAAAAAGAGAAATAAGTGCGTTTTCCAGGTTAGAAACGGCAAACGCCAAACGTCCAGACCACTGAGTCTGATGAGTGGGTAGAGTCGAGAGGCTGCCAAGTTAAACAAACGAAAAAAATACAAACCAACTAACAAAAACCGACCTGGGCCGCTTGCGCACGCGCCCGCCCGTCGATCCAAAGGGCGCTCTACACTCGGCCTGACGTTCGATCAGATCGACGATCGTTAAATCGGTTCTGGCTGTGGGAGCTAATCTCATTCTCGCGATGCTTCAGGATTGAGGCTGGAATAGGGACCGGTCGTCTGGGGAGGAAGAGGAGGGCCGTGAGGCGTCGGCACGCAGCGTCCCCAGAAGGCTGTGCGCTCCCTTGCTTCCTCCGGGTCTTCTGTGTGAGCGCGTGAATCGCTGTCTGCCTCTTAGACATGGCTCTTCACGTCCCCAAGGCCCCGGGCTTTGCCCAGATGCTCAAGGAGGGAGCGAAAGTAAGGGATGGAACGAGAGGGCGAGGCGGGAAGGCCGCGATGGGGTTGCAGCGGCCGGCGCGAAGGAAAATGGGCTCCTGACGGGCCGGTCGTGCCCCCTGGCAAGCGGGCGGTGGAAGAGAAAATTCCAGAAAGCGAGTCGCGCTCGGCCGCCGCCCGCGGGCACTCGGGACTGCCCCGACTCGGGGTGGCCGAGAGGAACGGAGGGGCGCGCTGAGGGGCGAGGCTGCCGGATTCGCCTTCCGCGCTTCCAGCAGGGCAAGCGAGAGGCTGCTCAGGTGTCTCCCTGCCCATCCGTAAAGCTCTCACCCTTCAAGGGAGTTGTGAGAGTGAAGTTGGATAACGTAGATGGAATTGCTGCGGGGGCCGTGAAGCGTACTGGCACGCACTTCACGGGCTGTATCCTGCGAAGGGACTAGAAGCGGACCATCTCGGGAGAGGAGGCCGTAGGTCGTTCTTGGTTGCTTGCTTGTAAAGGAAAAGTAGGCGCCCCATGTAATGTTCAGAAGCAGTGCTTTGATTTAGGGCAGACCAAGCTTAACGTTAGCTAGCTTGTCCTAAAGTTACCTTCACTCGGTTTTTTTTTTTTTTAATTGAGGTGATCTAAAAGACATTCCGAGTGCCTGTATCTGACTTACCGTAACCCACCGTGTAGCTCACAGGATAAATGACATCCTAGCTCAAATAAAATTAGTCTTAGGATCTGGAATATAATTTTAGGAGCATAATTTTTATGATGTACATACTGAGAAATTTGTCTTTCGCGCTAATAACGGTGTTCCTTTTTGTCTCCCAAATTTCCTATGCTTAATTGAGAAGATTAGGGTGGTTGAATTTAAGGTTTCATGGGAGATGAAGGGAGCTTTAATAGTTAGGAGTTGGCTTTTTCCTTGTAGGATGCACTTTGGAGATAACAGGTATACTAAATAAATGTCAGTGTTTAATATAAATGTTGGTGACGCTTTGAAAATGATGCAAGCTCCTCAGAAGAATATTCAAGCTGAAGTAGCAAAACATTATTTGTCATTTAAAATCTGATAGTTTTCTACTGCACGTTGAGATATTTAATTCAATAAATAGGTACTTGGGGGAATTGTAGTCAAAGAGAAAAATCCCAGCTCTCCTAGAGTTTATATTCTAGGAAGGGAAAATAAACTATCAAGTAAACAAAAGGTAGAATTTGAGTAACAGTAAACATAATACTATAGTAGGAAACGGCAGGAACATTACTACCTACCCCACCACCACCACAAAAGTGTTAGGAATAGAGAAGGGAAATAAAATATTCTGGGACGAACTCTTGAGTGCTGAAAGATTGACGACTCAGCCACATTTAGAGGGAAATGCTACAAGCTGGAGGACCAACTAGTGCAAAAACTCTTAGCATGTAATAAATTTGGCCTGTTTAAAAATAACAAAGTAGGAAAGGTACAGGGTTACAGCTTGCAAAGGGAAGGCAAGAATGGTAAGAAGTCAGAATTAAGATGTATTGTGTGTATGTACCAACTCTCCGAGATGAATGTAATCACTACTGCAAACGTGTAGTAATAAAAATTTTTTAAATGGTGAAAAGTCAATTTATAAGCTATAATAAGGCAAAGACTAGAGCGTTTTAAGGCTTGTATTCATTAAGAAGGATTTACATTTTGATGTAAAAGAGATGGAAAACCGTTAAAGGGGTGTAATGGGATCTGTTGTCAGATGGCTGGCGGTTCCTCAGTGCAAGGTTGTGAGGGGCAAAGCTAAGACAAGAGCTTAGACTTAAGTGTTACTGTTGGAATCCTACCCTTGTTGCTGAAGCTGCTTATAAAGCAGTAGTTATTCTTACTTGGTTCATAGTTTCTTCTATAATATAAAAGCCCAAGCCTTATATTCTAAAGCAATAAAACTTTATTCGGTGATGGAAATACTGTTAGTTCTGTGCAGCACAACTGCTAACTGTCTATAGCTATTCAGCTGTGGCTGGTACACTTGAGGAACTGAATTTTAGGTTTTAATTACTTTAAATGGCCAAATGGGCTAGTGGCTGCAGTACTGGGCATTAAAGATGTAGAAAAATGTTCACTTGAAGATTAAGCTCTTGAAGCCTATCTGAAGACCCAGGTAAATCCAAACTCTTTAAGTCTAATGTAAAATGAGAAATTTAATAGATGTAATCATTTCCATTTTTCAAACTACACATTGGAATTATATTGCAATTCAAAAGAGCACTCAACAGTTGTATACTTTAATCCCTAAACATTTCAGGGGTATATACTTTGGTTTAAATGAGAATTCCCAACAAACATGCAATGCTGGCTTTTCAAAGCTCAGGTGCTAGTACAGTAAGAGAAATACTTATCACATTTCAGCTTTTAATTAGAAAACATTAATAAACCCTGCAAAGGTATTTTACCTGAAATGCCTCATTTGCGTTCATCAGACCTAGCACTTACTATATACTGCACTAAAAATATATGTGCCTTGTGATTTGATGTGTAAGTTGGTCTGTGATCTCTAAGAAGGTCATGCTTTATTTATACAACTAGTGAGGAAATTATATATCATTTATGAGTATCAAGTATCATGTTTGACATACATAAATTTTATGTGATTGTCTCAACAGTACTGTGAGATAGGTGCGATTATTACTGCCTTGTTCTACATAGGAAAAAAAAATTGCCCAAGGTAATCTGGTAATTAGCCAGAAAGCTAAGATTTGTAACCAGACTCAGCACATGTGCCAAATACTTATGTGCTGTTGCCTGTTTATTAGAAGTAAGATAAAAGTATCTGATGTTTGAAGATTGTTGTTTCATTGTCCTAAGAAGTTTTATTTTACAGCATTTTTCAGGATTAGAAGAGGCTGTGTATAGAAATATACAAGCTTGCAAGGAACTAGCCCAAACCACTCGTACAGCATATGGACCAAATGGTAATCTACAAATTCATATTTTTAAAAATACAGTAATTGAATTTTATGTAGTAGCTCTTCACATTCTTTTTAAAGAGTACTATATTTACATCTTGGCTTGGAAAGTTATTTCATAGTTCAGTGATACCAGTGTTTCTTATTTTTAATCAACTGCTCATCTCTAGAAAAAGTAGGAGTCAGATGTTAACTTTATCCTGTTGAGAGGATAAAAAAATTACAGCATTTTCACTATTGACATTGTACTTAATACTCATTGTGACAAAGGGTAACCAGTTATTTTATAAAAAGTTATAAGAGCCCAGCATCATGGCACACATCTATATAATCCTAGCACTCTGGGAGATGAGGCAGGAGGATTGCAAGTTCAGGCCCAGCCTGGGCAATTTAATGACTTTGAAAGACCCTATCTCAAAATAAAAAATATATTTAAAAGACTGGGGATATAACTCAGGCCCAGGTTCAATCCCTAGTACCTCAAAAAAGTAACAGGTTGAGAAAATTTTCTGTTGTTCTTTTTCCTTCAAGCACTGATTGAATTTAAGATACAGGTTTATAAAATAAGCAAGAACTATACTTTTAAGTGGATTATTTTGGTGATGTGCATGTTAATATGATATCTAATAATTGAGCACTGGCTACATGGCAAGCATGTTTAAACACCATAGCAATCAGCAAAAATGTAAGATTTTGCCTCTTCTCTGTACATTGTAGATTAGAAAGAAAAATAGACACACATGTAGTCAGAAAATGTGAGGCTATGAGATAAATCTGAAGAATAGATAGTATTGAATTTTTATAACACTTTAAAAAATAACAAATTTATACTTCTTTACTAAATTTTCCTGGATATTTGGAGAAGGAATTGAGTAATAATGGTTTTCGTGTTTTATTTTTAAGGAATGAACAAAATGGTTATCAACCACCTGGAGAAGTTGTTTGTGACAAATGATGCAGCAACTATTTTAAGAGAGCTAGAAGTAAGTTATTTTCAAAGCAACCAAAAAAATTAAGTGTATTTTAATCTAGGAATCTATTTCAAATGTGATAATAAGAAACCTTTTTACACCTTGAAAATTCATTATGCAGATTTGTAGACTTATATTTAACATTTCAGCAGCTCAGATTTTTAAAATCTCAAGTTATTTGCTTATGGAGGGATTGATTATGATAAAGTATAATTGCTAATAATATCAAATTGTCTCATTTTGTAGAGTGACACAAGTGAATGATCCCGTAATGCATTAACAAGTACTAATGAGTTGTTGAAATTCTGCTGTCTTCTCCAGTTTTGTCATTGTGGAGACTGTAGATACTGCCTGCAGAGTTATGGAGGGGAGGCACCAAAGCGCCTACAGACATTTCTCATATTAATGCCCTGTAATCAAAGGTTATGTTCACCAGATCATTTTCCTGATGCTTAGCCCTCAATGATGCTAGAACTTAACCTTGTATTTTAGATAAAAGTACAGATAAAGTAACATCTCTCCAACATCTTAAATAACAGTATATTCTCAAGGATATGTTTAACTCCACAAGATATTGTGGAGAAACTTGTCATGGTGAATGTTAATGTCATACATGGTAATGTTCTCAGGAGGTACTAGAGTAGAATGGGGATGGTATCAGAAAAACCGTATTGTTGACTTTTTACAGGTTTTTTTTGTCAGTTACTCCTTGCTTATTTCTATAAAAGCATTTAAAATTAACTCCTAAGAATAAAGTTATATAAAATTTGATACTTGTAAAGAAAAAATTTATACTCCCCTTTTTTAAATACTAGTTATAACCCTTATAAGAACACACAATAAAATTGATAACTGCAGCTCTTAACTAAGCTAAGTGGTGTCTATTTTAGTTCCTCTGAAGACTTCTTTCAAATGTCCAGCTTTAGCAGCTGGAATCACTTTATGTTTAATACAGGTAACGCATAATGATATGCAGAACCTTGTGGAGCTGTGTGTAATGGATCGATAACTAGCCATCACAAGAAAGTGTGCTTTGTAGTTTTAGCGGTGCATTTGGGCTGACAGGCCTGGAGGGATTTGAATTTTCTTCTTGTGATCAGTCTAATAAGTTTATAATTGTGATCAAATGGAGTTAACCTGGCCTGCGTAAGGAAATTAGAGTTTATTAATTTAATATAAGGAGACAATGATTTTATGTTGCTTTAAGGGTCAAATGTTTTCACTTGGTATTTCCTTTTATACCAGGTACAGCATCCTGCTGCAAAAATGATTGTAATGGCCTCTCATATGCAAGAGCAAGAGGTTGGAGATGGCACAAACTTTGTTCTGGTCTTTGCTGGAGCTCTTCTGGAATTGGCTGAAGAACTTCTGAGGATTGGCCTGTCAGTTTCAGAGGCAGGTGTTTACTTTATAATTTACTCCCATTTAATTTTTGTCTACATATATGCTACTGCTTTAAACATGGAATTATTATCAAAGGAGTAGAGTAGCTCACATTACTGAGCAGTTTACTCTGTGCCAGGCATTGTAGTACCTGTGTTTCACTGCTATACTGTACTGTAGTACCTGTGTTTCACCACTGTACTACCTTTGTAGTATCTCATTTTAACCTCTTGAAGAATCGTATAAGTGAGGCCTCCTAAATCTTGTTTTATTTTAAATGAGGACAGTAGGAGTTAAGTTAGAAAAACCTTGTCCAAAATCCTGTCACTAGTAATTGGTAGAGTCTTGGGATTCAAATGTTGATTGTCATCTGAGCCTACACTCATAATTAGTAGGCTCTGCTGTACTTGTTATTTTTGTCATTAAATAATGAAAATAAATGCTGTGTTCATTGGATTACCAGGAATGCTTTGTCATCTCAAAATCGTGTCTGTTAAAGAAATATTTTTTCTTTACATTTTAGGTTATAGAAGGTTATGAAATAGCCTGCAGAAAAGCTCATGAAATTCTTCCTGATTTAGTATGTTGTTCTGCAAAAAACCTTCGCAATGTAGAGGAAGTGTCGTCTCTACTTCGTACCTCCTTAATGAGTAAACAATATGGTAATGAAGTATTTCTAGCCAAGCTTATTGCTCAGGCATGTGGTAAGCAAATATCAGTAAATGAAGATATCCAAAATAAAGATTTTTAACATAAGTAAGATATTTTCTTCTTATTTTTGATATGTCTCTTCTTAACAGTATCTATTTTTCCTGACTCCGGCCATTTTAATGTTGATAACATCAGAGTTTGTAAAATTCTGGTAAGTTCAGACAGTGCATTAACATCATCTAAATTGCTCTAAGTCTAAATCATCCCTTGTGTTTTAGACATTATTTTTATGTGTTTTATATAGGAGAGCGTAGTTAGGGTGGTTTTGTCCATTGGCATCCTGATGTTGGTGTAGATGGATTTACCCCATAGCAGTATGTGTTCTATTTGTACGTGTGCCGTTTATTTTCTCTGTACATGTACTGCCCACCTTCCCCATTAAATTGCAAGTACTATATTGACAGCTATTCCTGGTATATTGGTACCAAGTACATACTGTACTTTGTGAATGGGTGAAAAAGTGCCTCTAAGCAGTCATTATCTATGTTTGTTCTTCCCAGTACAGTGAAGGGCTTCCCCTCCATGAAAGTAGCTCATTCCCACAGTGATTCCTGCCTTGAGCAAAATGGTTTGTTTTATACCTACCAGTTTATCCTGTGTCCCTAGATCTCTGTGTTGATGTTTTACATTTTGTGTACAGAATTAACAACTTAGCTCTAATGGTTGTTTTCTGTTCAACCGTTAGGGCTCTGGTATCTTTTCCTCTTCAGTATTGCACGGCATGGTTTTTAAGAAAGAAACTGAAGGTGATGTAACATCTGTCAAAGATGCAAAAATTGCAGTGTATTCATGTCCTTTTGATGGCATGATAACAGAAACTAAGGTACGTAGACCTCAGACCTTAAAATATTGGAGCTGATCTTTTAGTTTAGTTTTGAGGTAGAGTTTGCTCTGAAAGCAGTATTTCATCATGGTTGAAAACTAGGATTGTGTATGTTTTTAAACCAGATTTGTATTTAAATATCTAAGTCAACTAGTATATAGTAAATTTGAGACATTAGATCATAGCAGTATTGCTTATATTGTACAATACAGCCCCTTAACATTTCAGGAAGTAAAAAAAATAGCACTTTGTGTGCTCTTCACAAAAATGCGTTTTTAAAATATTGGCATTCTGTAGCATCCTGAAACCAAAAATAATGATAATGTAATTTGAAAATGATGTCATTTTTTAAAAACCTTATGTTTCTAGTCAGCAGTGGCTGGCTTCATCCTCCATCCTCTTACCTTCCTTCTGCCCCCCCCCCGTTTTTTTTTGAGATAGGGTCTCAAACTTTTCAATTCTCTTCACTTTAGCCTCCCAAGTAGCTGGGACTGCAGGTGCACACCACCAACACCGTAGCATTCTTGAAATCCAGGTTTTTGGTTTTAAAGGTTTCTGCAAAATTGGGAGGGGGGATGGTTATTTAGTCCCCATTTTAGGAAGAGTTTGAGAACCACAGCATTGCTGTTTTGGTGATACTAGTTGATCTTTATAAAAGACAAATATGAGGATACCTGTCCTACATATCTAAAATAACAGTATTTCCCCATATTTTCTACCACGTCCCTGTCAGAGCAAATGCATCTGTTTTAAGATGAGAGGAGCTAGGAGCAAACTAAGTGTCTTAATTTTATAAATTTTGTATTGTGCTTCATCATACATACTTTTATGTTTTCTCCAAAATCCATAAATTGTTTCTTTCGCTAAAATGTTATCCTATGATTTTGAACAACAAAGTACTGAAGTGTTGTTTAAAGATTGTGCTTGCCTGTTTTGCCAGGGAACAGTATTGATAAAGACCGCAGAAGAATTGATGAATTTTAGTAAAGGAGAAGAAAATCTCGTGGACGCACATGTCAGAGCTATTGCTGATACTGGTGCAAATGTCGTAGTAATAGGTGGCAAAGTGGCCGACATGGCTCTTCATTATGTAAACAAATACAATATCATGCTGGTGAGGTAAGAGCTGCATTCTATTAACTGATACTATAAATGTCTGTTTAGTAGTAAAACATTAAAATTCAGCAAACTGAAGACATCTCAAGGAGAAAGGACAAGTAGTCAAATAGTTTTAAAAAACCAAAAAACTTGTCTGTGGAGATAGAAAATAACTTTTTCTCTCCCTCTGGTTGTTTGATTTTTTTTTTTTTTTTTTTTTTTGTACCGGAGATCAAAGTCAGAACCTTGCACTTGTGAGGCAGATGCAGCGCCAGAGCTAAATCCCTGGCTGTCTCTGGTTTTTTGGAATAAGGTCTTGCTTTGTAGTTCAGGCTGGCCTTAAACTTGTGGTGACCCTCCTTCCTTAGTCTCCCAAGCGCTGGGATTATAGGCATGCACCAACATGCCCAGCTTATAACTCTTACTTTTAAGCTGAGAACTGAAGGAACCAATCATTATATATTGTCGGAAGAGGCACAGGGTATATCTTTCCAGGCAGAATGAACAGCTTATAAGCTCGTGTATTGCCTGTTATCCAGAGTGTAGAGTCAGCAAGATGTCTTTTAATCTGTGACACATTTATAGGGTATGTTAGACAACTGACTTTCCTATCCATTTTCATCTACCACCTTTCTTAGTACCCAGTCAAATCTGCAGAGTAAATCACTGTACTCTTCCTCAAAAATTGTATGATTGCACAAAATAAAGCAGTTTTCAGTATATGCACTATTTCCTTGGTGTTTTGGAACTATAAACCCTGATATCCTAAAGTAACTTTACCTCTCCCAGTTAATAGAAACATGGTGTACTACAGATTTAAGATGGCATTGCTGGCTGGGCTCATTCTCAGCATAAAGAATTGGCTTTTTGGGGCCGAGGATTTAGCTCAGTGGTTCCGCAGCCTGCCTTGCAAGTGCAAGGACCCGAGTTCGATCCCCAGTACCAAAAAAAAAAATTGGCTTTTTGGTGTAAGAACCCAGTACAATTCAGATGTGTTCTGAGCTTGAATCCAGAGTCAAGAACATTACTTGGGGCTGGTGTATAGTTTCTTATGTAATCCCTGTACTGTATATGCTTATGTATATGGTAGAATTAAAACTTTATTAAAATCTTTGTTCTTCCTGAAAGGCTTAACTCAAAATGGGATCTCAGAAGACTATGTAAAACAGTTGGTGCTACAGCTCTTCCTAGATTGGTATGTATTCTGGACAACATTAAAAGATAGTTGAACCTATTTACATTTTTATTACCACAGTTAACTCTCTTACAGACTCCTCCTGTCCTTGAAGAAATGGGACACTGTGACAGCGTTTACCTCTCAGAAGTTGGAGACACACAGGTGGTGGTTTTTAAGCATGGTATGTAGTCATGGAAAGATGGGCTAGTAGGAGTGTGAGGTGTTTATTTTCTTTTATCTAATCCCCAGTTGTATTTATATGTGACAGAAAAAGAAGATGGTGCCATTTCTACTATAGTACTTCGAGGCTCTACTGACAATCTGATGGATGATATCGAAAGGGCAGTAGATGATGGTGTTAACACTTTCAAAGTTCTCACAAGGG